TAACTCTTCTGCCTGAACTCCCGAGTCAAAATTTGCAAATAATTTGTATGCAATGTTTTACAGTAGATATAAAAATAGTTACAAGTTTTTACCCACCGTTTAATTGGTGGCTGAGGATTAAGTCATTTTCTCTACCACTGATCAACTGGTGCCTGTGTATTATTATGTCATTTTTTCTACCACCGGTAAAGTGGTGATCAGGGCTCAAAGGGTTGCCTCCAGGGTAAGATCCTAGGATCAGAGTAGGGTTCACTTAATTATATATCAATATGTTTTTAGCATAACAAAAGTACCCAAACACCCATTAGTTTTTATATACTAATAAAAAAAAATTCAAACTAAAAACAATTTAAAACTCAAACATTTTAAAATTTAAAATTCACCATTTCGACATGGGTTCTGTACATAATTATAAGCAACACTCGTTTGAAAAATAAATCAAAAAAAAAATTACTTTAGTCTGATGAAGTCATTCTAGAGGATGAAAAGTACCTGTCCAGCAACTGCCTATCCACAGAGCGGTTACGGACTGGCTTTGTTTAGAAGGTCCCTCTTTTTTTTTTGGAATGCGACCCATCGGATACGAACAGCTGATGACCCAAGAGGTGTGATGAAATTGAGTAGACAAAACTATTTGGGGATATCGTCATCGTGACCGAGGGTTTTGAGCGTGATGGACTTGTTCAAACACCAGATAATGCCTTTAAAAACTATAATAAGGTCCCTCAGCATAATTGCAATATTCCTCTTCAAACACAAATCTGTCTGCAACAAGGATTGTGTAGTACGAGAAAGTCAAGCAAGGATTGAAAGAAAATATACATATATAGACTGTTAGGGTCAATGTTATCCAACCAAATATGTTAGCTCTATCTCTGATATTGAGTACAAATTTATATATATATATATATATATGAGATAAAATGAATATTTTGATTAAATAGAATATCTCTACATTCTATTACTATGTCCGTAAATTCTATATTGACGCGTGGCCAAGTGCTTTGAATCATTCAATCATCGATCTTTGAGCGGTGCCTGTCAACCACACCACGTAAATCCACATTCATTCAGACAATCCTTGGTAATCAGAACAAGTCAAACAGGGTTTTGAGCTGGAAACTGTCCGCTCATTCGGCAGATGGGTTCTTTTTTAAAAAAAAACAAACAAATTAAATGTACCTATATAATAGAATCAGAACACTTCATGTTCCGTTATAACCATTTTAGATAAGTTATCTCCATTTTAGATAAGTTCCTTGATAGGTTCCTCAAGTATTATAAGATTTCTTTCCTAACCTTCTTAACCTCCAAACTGTAAAGAAATCTTCCATCATTCCCAACTGAAACATAAAACTGACATGAAGGAAATTTCTGTTAACCTCAGTTAATGGATTTAACACTGGGGGAATAAGTGAAAATTGTTAACAAGAAAGTAAGTCAAGACAAACATGAAAAAAAAAAAAGCTTATTTAACAAATAGTGAGGGTATGATTATGATTTTACATTATGATTGAACTGTTATCGTTCCCCACTCTGATAATGATGTTTTATATACTATACTCGCTACTTCCGACGTGAAACACATTTGTTTACCTTCCATTCTACGTCACCGATGATGGTCGCTACGATCCCGTTGTGTTTTGTTTAACGATCAAACGCTTTTAACACAACTTTGTAAATCTGACTTGCAGTTAAATAAAATATGGCAGAAACTGAAACGTCTACACAAAAAACAACACTCTGTCCGGTGGCAATTGCTGCTGGTGACGCCAGGAGCAGCAGTACCGCCTTAGCCACCGAAACTTTGGTACCACTCCTGGTTGGCGGCTGATAAAGGCAGAGTATCGCACATGATTTCACACGTTGTATGTAGAAAAAAATTTAATCCTCTCTTTATCATGTATAGTACGAGTCAAGAGTTTGACAGAAAATCTGGATTACCTGTTAGCATGTTAATATTGTATACAATGCAAATTTACGATTGATTTGCCCATATGTCCTTAAATATGCGCAGTTATGATGGCGGTTATATATGGCGGGTATATATATATATATATATATATATATATATATATATATATATATAATAGGAAGGGGTTATAGTTGTTCAAGGAGAGAAAAGTGTATATATTAAAAAGAAGAGAAAACCTAAAACGTTTTTGGTTTTAATGTGGATTTAATATATATATATATATATATATATATATATATATATATAATGCTTTAAAGCATAATATATACTTCTTTTTAAAAAAGAATCCGCATTACAACATAAAAGCGGTTTCTTTTTCTTTTTTTTAATATATATATATATATATATATATATATATATATATATATATATATAATTCAAATCTATGTTGTCATGAAGCTCAGAACCACAGTTGATCTCAACGTTTATTCCAACTTAATTTCAATAAAAACAAAATAAATAGAATAACATATGTATTTTTTTTTTGCCTCAGTAATTTTATAATTTTAAACTTAATAGGGATTTAAAATGGCTAATTTTTAATTTTTTATTTCAAATTTTATCGTATAATTTAATACTTATTAGTTAGAATAAATTCTGTTTTTAGTCTAACCCCAACATTAAGGCATTAAATGGTTATTATAACGTTAGTTCTTTGTCAAGTTTATGTATAATTTTAGATGTGTTATTAGTATTAAATATTTTATTAATTAAACTCTAAAGACTAATATTATATAATAGTATTAATATTAAATTCTTAATTTTCCTTTGTCTGTTATATTTTAAACTCCTCTGTTTTTAAACTTTGCCTTTTATATCAATTTATGCCATTTGTAAAAGACTTAATATCTTTAATTTAGATCTTCGTTCATCTTCAACCGGCTATTTTTCTGTTTAGACTTGTTCCGGTACCCTCACCCTAACCAGCATAATTTCTTTGGCTCTCTATAAATCCCATTTCCCTTATATGTTGTTTGTTCCTCTTCTTTCTTCTTTTTCCTTTCCTTCCTTCCTTCCTTCCTTCTTTCCTTCCTTCCTCAAGTTTTGTTTTTCAAATTTAAAAAAAAAAATATGTTAGAATTCATTTGTTTAACAAATGTATTTGCATTGACAAGTCCTAGGAAGTTTATCCCGAGGACTAAATGGCTATCTGAATGGGTAATGTTAGGGTTTCATTCTTTGTAATTCCCCTATATATATATATATATGTGTGTGTGTGTGTGTGTGTGTGTGTGTGTGTGTGTGTGTGTGTGTGCGCGTGTGCGTATTCAGGCAGCAATCCCTCATTTATGCATGTTTCATTAAAATGACAGACAAGTTACTACGATTAAGATTTTTATTTATTTTTTTCTTGTATTCGAACAAGTGTTTTCTTTTTTTAGACACAGAGTGTCTAGAAACTCTCCAAATGTTCTATAGTGTGGAGCGTTTTCGGCTTTCTTTTAGCCATTGTTAAGGATGATTTTATTTATTCAGTTTAATTGAGTGTGTGCGTTGTGTGTATGTTTTTAGTGTTCTAGAGACGAAAGGTTGAAATAGTTGGGAAATATATTAGAATAATCAAGAACACATACTGGCAGCAAACTGTCTGCATACGAATAGAAAGCGAATTCAGCGGATATACAAAAAACAGAAAGGGGTTTAAGGCAAGGATGTATCTTCTCACCGGACTTATTCAACCTATACAGTGAGGCGTTCTGAAAGAACATAAATTATTATTGTCTGAGGGAAGAGGAACACGCTGTATCACCCGATAAGTTGCAGACTTAAAGTTTGAAGCGAATCAAAATCTCATCCCTGAAGTAAGATCTTTCGCTCTCGTTATTATCACTTTAGGCTCGAGAGTATATGAATATACACCTATGCATATACACAGAAACAAACACTCATGTGTACAGACACATATATATTCTCACTAACTGTATACAAGTCAACAGAAATTTTAATTACATGTGTACACGCATGGAGACATCCGTGTATTTGATTTTCAAACTATGTGCTTTTTTTCCAGGTCTTTTCATTTTCGCTAAGCCCCAGAAGGGGGGGGGCTGACGGATCAATACTCATTCGTTTCCCATATGGATCCAGTGTATCTGCTCGTGTTTCCATTTTTTTTTTTTTTACTCGGAATTTTCCATTTGCAATTACTTTTCCATTTATTTCGAACATCTCAATGATCTAACACTCTCGACCGAATTAAAAAAAATCATTTCATCCCAAGCAAGGCGGGAGTGCCACTAACACGCAGGGGGTTACAGAGAGTGAAAGTTAGAGAAAAGACTGGGTATAAGGGCGGGGACCAAGGAAAAGATAAAAGATGAACGAGGATCCAGGTAATAGAAGGTGGCGATTGACGTTGCATTTAAATTTTTGAAGATTGTTGTTATCAGGGAAGCGAGTAAGAGGAAGGGAGTTCCACTGTTGCGAAGTGCGAGAAAAAACTGTTGGAGTAGAAGTGGCGGTTACATTTAACTATTTCAGCAATAAAAGAGTGGGACCTACATGCCAATCTAGTAGCACGCTTAAATTCATGTAGTTGGGGCACCAGAGAAAAAATCTTGTCACAGCAGTTGCCCTTGTAGAAAAGACAGAGGGAAGCCACATCACGTCTGTGAGAAAGCGACTGAAGCTGAGATGCCAAGTCAGGACCGATTACATTGCAGTTCCTTGTTTAGATTTTGTCGAGAATCTCTAGATGAACAGCAGGGGCACCAGACCCGATATGGCAACAGTATTCAATGCACGGACGAATGGTAGATTTGTAAGATGGACTCTGATGAGAAAAAAACCTTCTGGCACGGCACAGTGAACCAAGTAGATGCAGTTATTAAATGTTCACTATATGTATTGACCACTCTCTACTGAAACTTCCCGCACAACAAATATGCTCAAACACCAAGGGACATCAACATGTCTGCAGTCTAAGGAACAAAAACATAAATATTACGTTAATAAATATCACTGCATATTGTTACTTCATCTATCTATCTATCTATCTTAGTCTGTTCATATCTATCTATAACAGATGGTCTTTTATCTATCTATCTATCTATCTATCTATCTATCTATCTATCTTAGTCTGTTCATATCTATCTGTAACAGATTGTCTTTTATCTATCTATCTATCTATCTATCTATCTATCTATCTATCTATCTTAGTCTGTTCATATCTATCTGTAACAGATCGTCTTTTATCTATCTATCTATATATCTATCTATCTTAGTCTGTTCATATCTATCTATAACAGCTGGTCTTTTATCTATCTATCTATCTATCTATCTATCTATCTATCTATCTATCTATCTATCTTATTCTGTTCATATCTGTCTATAACAGCTGGTCTTTTATCTATCTATCTATCTATCTATCTATCTATCTATTCATCTTCTGTAACAGATTGTCTTTTATCTGTTATCTATCTATCTATCTATCTTTAACTGTAACAGATTGTCTTTTATCTATCTATCTATCTATCTATCTATCTATCTATCTATCTATTTATCTTATCTATCTATCTATCTATCAGATCGTCTTTTATCTATCTATCTATCTATCTATCTATCTATCTATCATCTATGGTCTTTTCATCTATCTATAACTATCTTTTATCTATCTATCTATCTATCTATCTATCTATCTATCTATCTATCTATCTTAGTCTGTTCATATCTATCTGTAACAGATCGTCTTTTATCTATCTATCTATCTATCTATCTATCTATCTATCTATCTATCTTAGTCTGTTCATATCTATCTATAACAGCTGGTCTTTTATCTATCTATCTATCTATCTATCTATCTATTCGAATCCTTATTTATTTATTAGTAAAATGAACTCACATATTTCATTCTTTCATCAGATATTAAATTTATTTTTGTTCATTTTCTTCAATTCTACGTCGTTCACTGTGTATGCCTCTATTTATTTTCATATTTTTCCTGCCCAAAACTATGATTACACGCACAGAATTTAAGATCCCGATACATCACTCTTCTAAATCTTGCGAACCCAGCTGCCATCTCTCTGAACTCAGACATCTGCGACATCAGCCTTCACCATAGAATATAGTCATCAAATATTAATCTTAAATGCTATTGATATTTTTTTTGTTTTTAGCGCGTTACTGTAGGTCACACAGGCTGAATTGTATACATATAAACATGTAGCAGACAAAAAAGCATGTTTTTGTTTTGACAGTAAATCTTCTACGCAGTTTTAAAAACAAATAGGACTCAATGTCATTTATATAAGTTGTTTTAGCGTCTCCAATATTGGAAAATTTAATTTCTAGATAGATTTAAAACAAACAATATTTACATGTGCTTCCTTGTATTAATAATTTGTCATTTTCAATGTGCTATCGTCCAATTTTGCATGATAAGACTTCATCACAAATAGCCGAAGAGTGAAATAATCTGCAATAATCCCTTTAGCTTGATCGAAGATAACGTATAATTATAGTGGGAGAGAAACCAATTAATAATCTCTTAGGGTGAATCGAAACGGTGAAATAACCACGAGGTTAGAGCGCTTATGGTATTACGATGGTGAGCGAACTGGTCTGGTCACGGAACCATCATATTCAAAGTATGCTAATCTTAATATATATATATATATATATATATATATATATATATATATATATATATCAAGTATGTGGTGCAGTTCAATTTACATTACATGAATCATTCATACAAAAAACAGATATAGAAGTTAATGATTTAAATGGCGAGAATACATCTTCGCAAACAATTTTAATAAAGTACATTAACCCTGAACCTGTATATGAATGTTATGATCCCTGTTTATAAATTCCAGTTGCATAAGGTCTTGTTGAGTTTTTTACAAGCTTTCGTCTGTTCCTACAGACATATTCAGGTATGGAAATAGATTTGTTTTTGTTTTTTTACTTCTCGATAATAATAGGACAACGAAAATTTAGATTGTTGAAACTTGGATAAGCATGGAATAATAATAATACAACACAAAATGTACGTAAACAAAATGTATTGAAACAAGGAAAAGGTACACAATATTTACAGTTAGTTTTGGTATATTCTTGGGAAGACTGTTCCTGTAGAATGGGTTGACTTTAGTTGCAGTCGGGCAGAGTCTCTGGATTGGATCTCTTCTTACTTCCTCCATCGTCTTCCCGGTACCAACCCATATTTATATGGTCGGTACTCCACTATGTAAATTAGGTGGATCGTACCACAACATAGATGTAATCCGAAAAAATGTTTTTAAAAATGTGTTATTGTTAATTGTAAGAAATGTTTTTTGGGAGCGTGCAGTCGCAACGCTGAAGTTGAATTTTTAAGTCAATGTGGCATGAACTAAATTGTTCAATAAATACAGGAATGTCACAGTTATTATCCTAAAGTTGCACGTTGGATCAGTTATTTTAATATCAAGTATGTGGTGCAGTTCAATTTACAATACATGAATCATTCATACAAAAACAGATATAGAAGTTATATATATATATATATATATATATATATATATATATATATATATATAAAATTTATATTACAATGAATCATTCATACAAAAAGTAAAGTTAATGATATAAAATAGCGAAATCCCTTCGCTACAAATTTTAAAGATGCATTAACCTCCCAATTGCTCGATGAATGTTATGATCCTTGTTTTTTAAAATTATAAACTGTATTAAGTTTTTCTTTAAATACGCAAGTACTTTCGACTGTACGTTCAGTCATCTTCAGGCATGGAAATTATTTTGTTTTTGGTAAAATTCAGGTAGCATCCGAGACAAAAAAAAAAATATTTCGATTCGCATTATATATATATATATATATATATATATATATATGAAGAAAATATGGAAAACAAAAATCCGAATATGCAAGTATGCTGTTTTAATGTTGTTTCAATGCCGACGTCATACGTTTCGGTCTAGTAGACCTTCTTCAGGACATAGTTATTAAAACATAATTAAAATTAGACGATAGACATAAGACTAATCAAAACAGAATAACTGAAAATTTTAAGATCAGCGTTCCGTTTCGCAATACGATCACGTGGACGTCACGTGGGCGATGTTGTAACAACATTAAAACAGAATACTTGCATATTCGGATTTTTGTTTTCCATATTTTCTTCATACTGTTGGATCTATATCCACATATTTGTTTATATATATATATATATATATATATATATATATATATATATATATATTTTTATAATAAGAAACAGGCAACTTTAAAGGGTACATGGATTATGATTTATTTCCTTATATATATGTATAAAGAAAGAAAGGGATGGATTTTTTATTTATTAAACCGACTGATTTTTATTCTTTTCTTTTTATGTGCCATGTTCTTTCATGACGAAGGCGATCATGGCTCTCCACCTCCTTCTATCCCTTGAAGCTCTCAATAAGTTCCTTCCCTCTGTTACCTCCCCCAGGCCGTGTTCTGTCATCCACCTGCTCAAGCTCGTCAGGTATGTCACGCGCTGCTTTTCCTTCTGTCTCTTTCCCTCTATTTGACCCGTGAGTATCAGATTCTCCAGACCCACCTTCCTCATTATGTGTCCCAGAAACTTCAGCTGTCTCTTCCTGATGTTGAGTATAAGCCTCCTCCTTGTTTGCAACCTCTCTAAGACCTCGTCGTTTCTCACACGCTCGGTCCATGATATCCTTAGCATCCTTCTATAGAACCACATCACCGTCGCCTCGCGTCTCTTCCTCATCTTTGAGGAAATCGTCCAACATTCACTGCCGTAAAGAAGAACAGATGTCACGTAACAGTTCAGTAACGTTAATTTTAGAAGGATACTCGTATTTGAGTAGACGCCTCGTTTATTAATTAAACATTATATTTATTTTCGTCTACCGGCATGAATATTCGAGAAATCTTATTACAGAAAAATATGCGCTCTCTGAAGATCTATTCAAATACGATTATCCAGAAAAAAATGTCTATAATTAATATATACATATATATAGAGTGAGTGAGTGAGAGGGAGAGAGAAAGTCTAAGAGAGAGAGAGAGAGAGAGAAAGAAAGAAAGAAAGAATTTGTTAATTAAAGACACTAGGGAAGCGCGTGTTTTTTCTCTAATAAGATTTCTCATATATTCGGGTTAAACGAAAATAAATATAATATTAAACGGGGAGTCGACTCTTATACGAGTATCCACAGAAAAAAATAACATTTATGTAATATATATATCTATATATATATAGAGAGAGAGAGAGAGAGAGTGAGTGAGAGAGAAAGAGAGTGAAAGAGAGAAAAGAGAGAGAGATAAGGAGCGTGAAAGAAAGAATCAATGAATAAATTAATTAATGAACGAAAGACACCAAGTTTTGCGTTAAAGAACTTTTTGGCAACTCCCTGTGAGGATTGAGGTCCAGCTCCCTAATTTTTGTATGACGACAGATTTTCTCGGCCAGAATAGATAGATATGGGGCATTTCTGATAAAACAAGACGACACGTAGTAAGATTAACATTAATGCAAGTCAAACAAATTTGATATTTCCTTTTTGTGTCGCTGTCCAGCCAGTGTGCTGCTGTAAATACGTACAAACAGTGGCGACGTCTTTTCAGCGCCTTGACAAAAAAAAAAAAAAAATAAAATAAAATAAAAAAAAATAAAAATAAAAATAAAGAAACTTGAAAGTTGTCGATGGACAATCCAACACCTGGACGGGTCCAATAAAACAGAAGAAAAAAAAAATTAAAAAAAAACAGAAAAGCAAAAGGAGTCAGGTCATCTTCCCATCCCCATTAAATGTGTTAACTCTGGGCAGGATCAAAGCGCAACATTTATAACAAGTAAAGGAGTTTGTTAGACATGCTGTCAAAAAATGAAAAAAAGGCATTACAAGGTGAAAAAAGGATTCAGGTAAGTAAAGAATAACTACAATAATAAAAAAAGGTAAAGAAAAATTATAAATAAAATAATTAGACTTAGATGTATAGTTTTTTTTTTCATGTGGTACTGTTGTTGGTTACAGTGTGGTGGAGTTTTCTAAATTTTCTAAGATAAAGAAAGTGAATTTAAAAAATAGGTAAAAAAGACTTATTTCAGACAAGGGACACTCATTCCTACATAAATTTTAATACTTTTGATATACAAGCATTCATTGTCATACACAATATGCGAATCTGGGTAAAAGATAATTAATACTCACTTTCACACACACACACACACACACGCACACACGTACACACACACACATATAATTTAACTTTTGTCTTAGAAAAAAAATCCTGATGATGACATTCTGCTAATGTCGAAAGTACTCGGAATAAATGAATATGTATCAACATGGTAATTTTTTCTCTTCCTTTAATAAGGAATACTAAGAAGCCTATCCGTGAATATGAGAGGATCCGATTGAAAATAAGTAGACATTCTTGTCTAAATTATTCAATGGGACATGTCTTTATATATATATATATATATATATATATATATATATATATATAAATAAAAACAAGAATACTAAAGAACTTCCGATCATCAATCTAACAGTTCTTTCCTATTATATCAATACACACACACACAAACACACACACAGACACACACACACATATATATATTTCGTTAAAACAATTGAGAAGTTATGCGGTTGTGTTTCTTTTCATTTAATTTTTCTTGCATTCTTATAATTTTTGCTTTTCTGGGCATAAATTATATAAAAATTGTTCGAATGTTCTGCATGTCCGAGCGCTTTCGGCTATTCTTTCAGTCATTATTAAAGACGTTTTATTTGTACTTTTAACTGAAGGTAAGGATTTTTTATATATGTATCTAGAGTTATAGAGATGTTTTATTTTCCAAACAC